GAATGATTTTTAGTCTTTCATAATGTCCTTAGTGATTCTTGCAAGACATATAGTTGTGAAATACACTGAAATGTACCCAGCTTTGTTCCAGTAGCCCTATTTTTGTCTTTGTTGTTTTTTTAAAGCCCAAGGTTTTCTGTTCTCAAAATTTACTTACAGGCATATTTAAGGATCCGAGGACTTGAGGATTTAAGAAGGCCGATTTTTCACAGGGGCTGGAAAGCTTCAAATATCTGCATGTTAAAAGTCCCATTTCTGAGAGTCACAATGCCATACTTAACACTGACTACTGTATGGGCACATTAAAGAAGGAAGTGACAGATAATCCTTGTCTCTAAAGTCTGAAATGTTTAGCATTTAAATTTCAATATTTTGGAACTGACCAAAAATACTACTTTCACTTCAGTATATTAGTCTTCAGACCCACAGGAAAAAAAAGAAAAGAAAAAAAAAGAAAAGAAAAAAGGAAGACCATCTACTTTGAAAGCATCTACTGCCACCTTCTGTACAATAAAGAAAAAACAGGAAATGTCCATTTTGTGTTCTCACACATTGAACAGAACAATGGATATATAAAAAGGCCATTTTTAACCAGGTTTGGCGTGACTGAAAATTCCTAGGTCTGGGAAACATATACATACAGAGACCAAGCCATAATGATACATCTTTTGTACTGTCACTGTACCAGTCACTGTGACTTACGAAAAATATTTTATGGTTTAACCTGTTGGGAAAATATACAGCCGATACAGCTTTTAAATAAACCATAATTAAAACAAAATGCCACATGAGCTCTTAGGATTCTTTCCCTATCTGCATGCATAACCGAGAGAGGGGGGGAGGAAGAGGGGGGGAGGGAGAGAGGGAGAGAGAGCAAACAACCTTCCAAAGACCTCCAAAATTTTGCTGCCTAACACAGTACTATCATAGTAGCCAAGTCAGCCAAGTTCTTTTGGCAATGGATGGAGTTTTTTTGGGTGATGAACCTATCCACAAATAGGTTTTCCCTATTTGGCAGGAAAAATATAATATTGACAAATCAAATAACAATTTGCTGCCCTTTAATGAAGCCTCCAGTCTGTTGCCAAGGCAGCCTCCCGTAGTAGAGACACCCTGATAGATAAAAGTCATGTGAAGGGATAGCATACTAATGGGAAACAAATATTGAACCAATGCATAGATGATTGCAGCTCCCTGGCAGCTTAATGTCAGGGTAAATGATTGTTGATAGCTGCCTTGAAAGAGAGGTTTTAGCATACATGGTTAAGGAATGAGGTTTGGATACAATTGTTTCTTCTTACCCGGGAATCTGTCTTCTTCTCCCTGGGGAGTTTTCGCTCCTTCCATTTTGTCTGCCAATGGTTGTAGCTGGCAGATGGCGTCTGACCCTTTTCAAGACAAACCTCTTTATAAACTGCAAAGAACTAAAATTAAATAGAAACAAATGCAGCTACTGGGAAATTAGTTCAGGCTTTGCTCAGTCACACAAGGGAGGTAATTTCCTGCCTCACCCCATAGGTAGTTGTGGTCGCAACTACGAAAGAACTGCAGAGACTAGAGGAAAACCGCAAGAGGCACATGGCCTGCTCCATCGTGTGGTCACCAGTTCATGGCAGAGCTGGGTGGAGGGAGTGGTAGTGAGGAAGGAAATAAATAAGATGTATTTTAGAGCCTACCCTTCTAATCTACAGTTCCTCTAGTTAAAATGGGAAATGGTTGGTCCAATATCTGCAAAACAATGGAACAACTGACATTAAAGCAAATTCTGAATATGCTCTTGCAGAAATATTTTAATGGGTGATGGGATATGATTTTATTCTTCTATTTTTACCTTATTATACTAACTAAGTTTCCAGATGAGTTGGGTAAAAATTCCATTATTTGTAGCCAGCCAGACCATAATGGAAGACGGTTGTATTCCCAACCTTTTGGAGGACATGAGACTGCACTCTTTAAAGCAAGTTAATTGTTTGATATTAGATTAAAAACATTAATGTCTATAAATCATAAACAGCATCTACCGCAGTTAACAATTATAGATTAAATGCCTTAATTGAATGCACTTGAAAATAACGAAGCTTCACATAGTCCCTGTCTCCACTTAGATTGAACTGCAGCATAATCATGTGCTAACAACACTTAGTATGACCTTGTTCCCAAAACTTCCTCAGCTTCACAAACATTAAAGTATGATTTTTTCCCCCCTTTATTTCATCAGTATGCTGTGGCAGCCTCAAGATGTGCAAAATTTGTTTGGCTTTTCTGCCCATCGCTTGGAGAAAAATCAGGAGATTCTGCTGTGAATAGGAATTGCAATGAGGGGACTTCTGGGGAAGAAACAGCAACCTAAAATGGCTCACCGAGGAGCCAGTCAGTATACTAGCTCTTTGTAATTCCTCTTGGGCAAGGAGAAGACTTGAGATGGCCCACAAGTGCTCCAGACATTTGCTCCTTGTAAGAATTAAAGATGGTGGTTTCTTGCAGGTTTAAAGCTCTGGGAGAGAAGGAAACAGTCATCTTGCTGACTATTGTTGCACTTAAGAGGAGTTGAATTAATAAAATTGTTGTGATGAAGGGAAAATCACTTTTTTTACAGTATATAGTTTTTTATTTATGAGCCCTGGTGGTACAGTGGTTAGAATGCAGTATTGCAGCCTGCAATTCAATCCTGACGGGGCTCAAGGATTGACTCAGCCTTCCATCCTTCCAAGGTCGGTAAAATGAGGACCAGATTGTTGGGGACAATATGCTGACAGTGTAAACCACCCAGAGTGCTGTAAAGTACAATGGAACAGTATATACTGTAAGTCTAAGTGCCATTGCTGTTTGCTATATTCTTATTTTTTTCTTTCTTTTCTGTTGTTGGGTTGAGCTCTGATCTTGGTGATTTGGCAAACTTTTCATTCCTTTTCAAATGGTCATTTGCATCCCTTTAGAGGGTCATTGAAGCACTTGGAGGTTTATCTGTGTGCTCAGGGTCAGCTGAGTAGTGTTCCTGGTTGCTATAGTCTTGAATTTTTTTTCTCTGGAAATCTATTCCTACTCCCACACCATTCAAAGTGTTCATCCCAAATTGTATAGCTAAGTCAAAGAAAAATGTCTAGTTATCCCCTGAAAAAGTGCTTTTGGGATCTGTATGACTGAGAATCTCTACAGACTCTTAACTATACAATTGTCCCCGAGCACACAGATAAACCTCTAAGTCAGTGGTTCTCAACCTGTGGGTTGCGACCCCTTTGGGTGTCAAACGATCCTTTCACAAGGGTCACCTAAGACCATCAGAAAACACATCTTTTCGAAAAAATATGGAAAACATAAAATAATTTTATGGTTGGGGGTCACGAGGAACTGTATTAAAGGGTCACGGCATTAGAAAGGTTGAGATCCACTGCTCTAAGTGCTTCAACAGGCAATCTAAAAGTATACAAATGATCAGCTGCATGCAAGGAATGTAAATCCTTCCGTTCCCCACTATCCTGCCAGAGCTGAAGAAGCTTCTTGGATGGAAGCAAAAGGTCTTCAAAGAAAAACCAGGAAAGTCCAGTTGCCTCTTGAAAAAAAAGCAGCTTTTTTGGGACAACCATGACCTGGATGACTGAGAATCTCTACAGACTTTGCTGTTTATCTTTCCATATTGTCTTTCTCCTTCTATAGGTCATTTCCTTAAAATTTCATCTTATATCCATATATACTGGACTGAAACACCCAACATCCCATGATACTGACTGATGTAATTTACAGGGCAATGCATCTGTTGAGTATGACATTAGATTTCACTCACTGTAACTTTCTTTCAGCAGCCTATTCATTCTGCACTGTATTGTGTGGTTTACATTCGAAACTATTTTAATGCTTGTGGTCCATTATCTGCTTTTTCTTTCTTCCTGTTGTTTATTCCAGGTTTTTGAAAGCACACTCTTTGCCTTCTTACTACAATGATTGATGTTATGTTGTAAATCCATATGAAAGAATTTTCTTTCCACAAGAATGGAAAGAATCATAGTTATTTTAAAAGTTCCCCATTTACGAGAAACAGAAAAGAAAGTGGGTTGGGTGAGAAAGATAGAAATCATGGAGCTGGGCCAGACAAAGAAACCAATTCCACTTATTTCCAAAGCTTTGTCAACTCACGTTGACAAAATTAGGTGATAGAAATTATCTTTAACTGTAGATATTGTCATTGAAGGGCTGCATGGAAAGGAGGAAATACACAGAATTGAGGCCTAGATTAAATTCAGAGTTAGAAGCAGCCATTTAGAAAGTTAAATCCAGGATATGTTCATGTAGGAAACCAAAGAATCAATCATGACACATGATGGTCGAACTTTTGAATGCATCCTGTGAAGGATATTTGCTTCCGCTGTTAAACTGTGTTTACTGGTGTTTTTTTCCCTAGGATTCAACTGGATTATTATCTTGTGTCTTTTTCAGCAAAATAAAAGGATCTCGCTCAAACATCTTTAAAACGGTGATGGGATTCAAAAATTTTTACTACCAGTTCTGTGGAAGTGGCTTGGTGGGCATGGTGTGCCTTGGTGGGCATAGCTGGGGAAGGATACTGTAAAATCCCCATTCCCTCCCGATCAGCTGGGACTCGGGAGACATGGAATAGATGGGGGCAGTCAGAGATGGTATTTATTGGTTTTCCAAACTCCTTAAAATTTCCACTACCGGTTCTCCAGAACTGGTCAGAACCTGCTGAATCCCACCTCTACTTTAAAACTATAGCCAGCTAGGACTGTTTTAGGACCTATTAGTGAGAACAGCACTAGTTGTTTCCATGGGCATAAGGAAGTAAGGACTCCAGAAAAAAAGGTGACCCTGCCAACTACAGAGTTCCTTCTTATTTGTGAGAGATCATCTGGCCAGAAGTGTAGCTGATGCCAGGAATAATGCATGTTAACTTAAAACTTGTAGCAAGAGACAAGAGGAAAAAAATCTAGGAATGATCGGATAGTGTACAAATGCTACAAAATAAATGAATTCTTACACAACTCAAAGAAGTGAAAAACCACAGATAAAAATTTATTAGAGCCAATATCAAATGATAGCTATTTTTAATTGAAATAAACACATTGCTACTATCTTTTAATTTACTTGGAAAAGTAATGTTTACATTTGTATTTTTTACATTCTCAAAATTTACAAAGAAAAAAAACACCTTAAAGTTCTTTTATCCAGCAGGTTACCCAGGAGAAAAGATTACCTTTGGGGAGCCTTAATCTGAAATTTCCAGCATTAAATCAAAAGCAGATTGTATACCAGCAAAAGTTTTGAAAATAGCCTTTATTTCTTCTACCTTTTAATCCCACAGATCACCCACAGCCATTCATACAAACTGGTTTGTATTTTCGGCTTTCTTCCTAGCTTTCTTCAGTGTTCAAACCTAAGATCTTTTTAACATAGTTCTGAACATTAACGTGGAGCTGTGAAGCAGTGGACAAAAATACTTCCATGGCCAATGCTCGAGTTGTTTCTGAGCCACTCATCATGGCTCGGTAGATGGGAAGGGTGTACTTCTGTTTTCCCTGGAATAAAAACAGAGTAACTTACTGATCAGCTAATAGCATCCTGCAGTTTTTAAGAAGGTAGCAATTATCTCCAAACCCTTTGTAAGATATACTGGTGAGCCACATTTATTTTCCAGTTACAGCAGTTTAGTATACTGAAAGACAGCTGGATGGTGGTAACAAGGATTTTGTATCTAAGAAATAGACAAGACTAGAACTCTAATAATATATACACCATCATCAACAACAAGACAGTTATCTGTTGCTTGATAGAAACAGAAAAAAAGATTCTGACAAAGCTACAGCAGTTTTGTGTTTCTAGAAAATACAGCAACATCAAGCACCAACCTGGCTGCGAAGAAAGTCTTTCACTTGATCAAAGCCTGCTTCATGATTATTTTTGAGGACAATTTGGGACCAGCGAAGACGCAGCTCAGCATTCTGTGCTTTAGAGATCTTAGGATACAAGGCGCTCATCTTCTCAACATGCCCTTAAAATGAAAGGACAATCAAGTTGATTTTTTCCCTCAGGAGAGAATTGTCCATGGTACTTTAGACAATGACATTCTTTCAATTATTTTTAATGGTCACAGTGTTTATCTTTTATACATATTTGATAGCACGTCAAATTACTTATTGTATATTAAGCACTCCAGATTCCCGTTTCATCTCAATATACCCATGCTTTCTGCTTTTTCAAGTGCATCTACTGATTTTTCAAGTGCCATAAGATATTTGTATTTCTAATAATGTTTCTAAGGGTTAATGTTTGAATGCTATTTTGATTTATTTTTGTAATCACTGTCAAAGGAAAGGCAAATTCCAAGATCTTCCGGTGCCTAAAGGTCTATGATATCCAGGCAATCTAGTTCCTGGAACTGCCCACTTGTACCCCAATATGTGAGCTTCCATAAAGCTTCCTTATAGAGCTATGGTTAGTCCTTCATTTTAGCAGAAAGTGTCTTACCATCTGGCAGAGGAGATTTCTTCAAGATATTATCTAGGAAATAAACCAGCTGGTAGGTCTTCCATGCAGAGATATCTAGTTCTCTAATTGCCTCCATATTGTGGTCAGGAAATGCCCAGAGTTCTGCCAGTTTATCTGCTGGCTTCATCAACTCCTCTCCAGGTGAAAGATCAGGAAGGTATGGCGGCCAGCCAGGAGTATTTAGCCATCGGTCAAATTCAAAACCTGCCACAGGAAGAAAGGGGAAAAAGGGGGTGGGTAGAATCTGCTTATTAGATTTTGATATTGGAATCCGTATCAGTAATGAAATTGCTACTAACAGTAACACTGTTTAATTTCTGAAGTTCTTCAGAACCACAACAGTACATTATCCCAGTTCTTATTCCATCTGTGCCCAAGAGAGAGAGATATTTACTAGCACAAAAAAAAACCCCAAACCCTATAGTCATTCATGATGTCCCAGCAAGCAGCTCACATGATCAGGCTTTTAGTTCCTCTGGGATACTCTGTCATGACAGAATAGGCACATTGGGTCCAATTTCAAGCAAAGCAACATATCAACAGCTGGAGTCCATGTACTCATATATTCACATGAATATACGTTCATTTATTTTGATTCACACTCAAACTGAAATTACCACATCCTGAAGAAGATTCAGTTGTCCCCTAAGAATTAGGCTTCTTTTAAGAATAAATGGCATGCCATATATTAGTCTAGACTTGTTAACATCTTGATGCCTTGCTGTTTTAAAATTCCAGTCTATTTTCTGTGGTCTGCTACAGACTAAAGATAGATTCCCTAAATAAATGTGCTTCTTGATGTCTTGACTTTGGGCAAGATGCATGCTTCATTACACAGATTCGTAATCTGTGCACTCTATTTAAGAAACATTCAAAGGTGGCATTAGAAGCAAAATCGCTTAGCAGATTGCCAATAGCCAGTGTTTTTATAAATAACAGCATTTTGTGTATTTTTCCTTAGATAAGAAGCAATGTAGATTGGTAAATATATTCCCTCAATGCCATTTTGCTGATACCACCTCCTTACTCATTGCTTTAATGCAGGGATAAACTTGAAGCAGTAAAAGAGAGGATCCAATGGGCACTTAAAAGCCCCTCCTCCCGAATGTTTCCTAATTAAACATGTTCTCCCAGGCTATTTTAATTTCGGAAGAAACCGGCATTGGGACTTTGTTTGCATGCAGTGTGTACATTTCCTTAAGCATGTTCTCTTCAACTGCCTTCCTCAAATGTGTAAGATTTCAATTCTCATAATTTCCAATTTTGCGTAAGTACTTTGGGGAAGTTTTAAACCAAATAAATAATTTGTGAGAAACTAAGTGACTAAGAAAGAACAAAGTTTGAAAAACAATCTGTTAACCTCTTCTTAGGGCTAAAGCTGTATTTGCATGATTAAGAATGTTCCTGTTATCAGATATCAGAAACATTTAATATTTGGCACAATGACAATGATCTGGACTGCAAGCCTTCTATATATGGTGGGAGCAGAGCACCTGCAACTGCACACATAATTTGCAGACCTGAGGATAATCCTTCATGCATCATGTCTACAAATTATTCCTCCCTCTGACCGTGGAATTGTTGCTGACAGAGAGCAATTGTCTGACTTATTATGAGAGCATTTTCTGTGAATGTTCACTATATAGCTGCTGCTGAGTTCAGCAGTATTGCCATAAGGCCTTTTTCCAAGAACCAAGGCAGGATATCATCCAACTGACTTCTTTATTCTGACCTGAACTGTCAGGCAGAACCTTTAAAGACAGCATTTGCTGTTTTTAATTTATGGGAACTAGCACACAATCTCCAATAAAAATACAACCAGATTGGGAGCAGAGGGCTAAAGGAGTAGAATAACTCAGCAGAATTGAATTACTCTAGCAGCTGGAGACAGGAAAACAGGAAGCTAATTGAGTTCAGAATGGTCTGGAAGATTTTGGAACAAATTGCTACCTGGAGTTAGGAAAAATTGAAAATTTTCTGCTAGTCAAAGCCTTGTGGCAATTCTGACTTTTTTTTTTAAGCTACAATGTCTTTGCTGACCTGGAATGGTGTCCACTCCTTGCTTCTTCAATTCTGGGAAATATTTCAAGTAGAAGTTGAGGGCGTCATCAGCTGTGATGCTCTGAAATTTGAACTGGTTCACATACGCCTGCCATAAAAAGAAACTGGCCTGAATTACTTTGAGATCAGCTGGTTCATCTCTGGCCTTTCAGCCCTTCTTTATTAATGTCTTACAAACAATTATTTGCATGTAAGACTACCCTGCCTAATTCAAGTTCAGCTTACTTCTACCTCTTTGGTTTTAGTGTGAGAACTACATATCTCAGCTTTAAAAGAAACTCCATCACCGTTTCAATTTCCCAAACCTTCAAAACCTGAAAAACCACCTTTCCACATCATCTGGAAGGTATGCTTGCTTACTTTATTGTCTTGCCATTTCTTAAAACCAGGTAACACTGAAGACTTCCTATGCATAATTTATGCAGCTGCTAGAATGCTTTCCCTGGAGAGGCGCAGCTTAAAAATTTAAGCTTGCTCCCCTAGCATGTTAACTTTGGGGACTTCTTGCTTCAATCCAAGCTGTACTATAACAGCAAAATGAACTGTGATTTCCTTGGGAAATGCTCCTTGGGAATGGCATGATGCAACCATGCTCCAAAACCTGCTGTTTCAGTCAGAAATGAACTGACATTCCTACCACAGTATTTGATTCTTATAGCATTCACTTCCTTCCCCATTTTTCTCAGCAACTAACACCAAAAGCAAATTGAACTTGGATCTGTCTAATCTCCCTTTAAAGCCATCAAATTGGTAACCATTGAGGTGACTAGTGAACAATGTATTTTACCCTCCCTTCAATAGGGGAGGATAATGAGGCCACTCATTGTCAAGCCAAAAAAGATTTTTTTAAAAAATCACCCCCACCACCACGTATTTTTTTTACACTTCTTTCATGTTCCTGGCACCATAATCATGTATCTCCAGCAAATTTTTCATCCTCTCTACAGTTCTGTATCTTGACCTGATCTACAATAATCTAATCAAAATATACGGTGAGATACAAAGATCCTAACTGTATGTATCTTTCTAAACACAATACAAAGCAGCATACTTTGAAAATACACACTGAGACATCTGCTAAGTAGAAACAAATTCCAGGCTAACACACAGTACCTGCAGAAAAGCATCAAACTTAGCCTGATCTCCCACAAGGTGGGCAAGGTATGAGACAAAACAGTAGCCCTTTTCATAAGGAGTTTCATTATATGTATCTTCAGGATCAACACCTGAAAGGAAGAAATATACAAGCTGAAAATAGCAAAATCAATCATCTTGTTAATGTGGGAAGAGTAACCTCACTAGAAATAATCAAGTATAGAGTTCAGCATGGCAAATACTTAAGAATTCTCTCCCCATTAATATACCCATAACTGATCCTCTTGAGAGAGAGATGGATAAGAGACAAAGGATTGGCTACCTGCTAAAAGGACAAGTCACAAAGGACGACAATCCAGAGTTAATTATGGAAGCTGTAACTTCTGGGAGTTAAAGTCAACACAGGAATTGTGGGTGTTGTAGTCCATACATATTAAAGTTTGAAAAACACTGCTTTAGATCAATACAGACCTGGTTCGAGTTGCACCCTGAGCTTGTTGAGAGGATGCTCTTCCCCAACATTGTCCATGTGCTGACGAAGCAAAGCTCTCCCAGTAGCCGCTTCCAAGGAAGTATAAGCAGCACCTGATTTTAGGGGAAACCAACAGGTTATGGAGCCTCTGGCAACTGCCAAGCCAATAAAACCAAAACTTCCACCTTGGTGCTCTGGAATCAACTGTCAACCATAGTTATGACATGGTCATTAGGAGAGCAGCCCCAGGGACACAAGAATGCACTGGCACAACTTTGCCAGGCAAGGGAAATCCTATTGGAAATAATATAATAATCCTATTGCAATAAATACCGAAGTCCTGAACCTCCTTCTCTCAATGGGGACATATATTGAAACATAAACTAATTCAGCTTGCCAGTTCTCAAGGTAGATATCTAAAAGTCCATTGGGGGCATTTAAGAGGTATACAGCATCGTTCTTCGAATTACTTAGATACAGCTTAATAACACTCCTTCTATTTAATGCTGAAATTAGATACTCTGCCAGCCAAATGTACCTGAAGGTTGCAAGGTTGGAGAAGGCCAAACTATACCCACCACCCTGGGCATTGATTATCGACCACTCACCATAGAGTTCTGAAGAAATCCTTCTCTGGGCATACATGGTAAAACCCTCGTTCAGCCAGAATTCCCCCCAATGGCCATTGGTGACCAGATTTCCAAACCAACTATGTGAGATTTCATGGATGATCACATCTGCTAGGGAACGATCGCCAGCCAAAAGGCAGGGGGTCACAAAGGTGATACAAGGGTTTTCCATTCCCCCAAATGGGAATGAGGGAGGCATAAAGAGCACATCGTATCTACCAAAAGCAAAAAAAAAAGCATTAGTCAGAAAAATAATATTCTAATATGTTCTTATATACAACACTGCAAGGTTGAGGTTATCCTGCCGATTTCAGTTAGCAGAATCCAAATTTAAAGTAAATGTATACTAGACTTCTTAGGCATTTCACTTTGCTAAGCTTCCCAGAGTTGCACCAGTCCCTTTCTCTTAGATGAGAAATGACTCTGATGCCTTTTAAAAATTCTCCTCCTAGTAGTACACTCTCTGGGTATTTACCCAACCTTGTTGAGCTGAGCATTTTTGGTCCAGACATTTACACTGAGGTAGAACTGTGCAGCACTTCGGAGTCGAAGGCAAAAAAGATATTAACATACCTAAACATATTAAACAAAACTTAACTTTTTGGGGAACTGTGCTACAACTGGGTGCTTTGTGACTATCTCTTGAGTGATGCAAAGCTTTTTTCCCACTTGAAAAGCAGCTGACAGATGAAACAATTCAAGAGATGGACATACAAGGCATGGATCTTTCCCAGATTCATGTATTCTTCACACCTCTTCAAGTGCCGATGGGTGGGAGCTGCCTCAACACCAGACTTGGGGATGCAGGGGGGCCCAAATGTGCCCCCTCCCTTTTTTTGGTGAAAAACATACGTAATTCTCTCTGTGCTTCACTTTGGGAAGATGGATTCTTTCCTGGGAACACTTTCTTTTTTGAAACAGGTTCAGTAATGAAAGGGGTACCTTTCCCATACGTATGGTCCAAAAATCTTCTCTCCAGTGGTAAGAAATTCTTCAATCACACCGTCATATTCTTTCTTAGCAGCCTCAATCAGGCAGGGCTCAGCCCAGACGTGACTCCTGGGAGAAAAGCAAAAATGGCAGAGAAATCAGCCTAAGAGGGATGAGACTATCCCTCACCCTGTAAGCAGGGATGCCCAACACACATTGTGTACCCTTGGATGCCAATGCAGCATATTCTTTATCGGAGCAATAGAGCCATTCTAACAGGGAACAGTCCCATTTTTAATCAGTTCCAGAGGTAGGTTCCTGCCAGTTCTAAGCTCTTCTATAGAAGAGGTTCCACAAATCCACAGTGCCGTTTAGAACCGGTTCCAGCTCCCTCCCCTCACCCATCTGCACATCATCAAGATGAAGAGTGAGAGGAGGAATTCTGGGAGTTGAAGTCCACAAATCTTAAAGCTGTCAAGTTTGAACACCCCTGGGTTTTTTTTTCTAAGGGTTAGGGGTGCGAGGGTCTTGTAACTTGACAGCTTTAAGACTTGC